CAGCTATGTAAACAAACCACAGAGAGGCTGCGATAGCAACACAGGCAGAGGGAGTGTGACATCGATGTCTTTACATAGCAAATAGTTTTCTGCTATGTCAGTGTTTTAAATAGTGTTGATGTCTTTCACGTTTCTCATGTGAAAAGTGACATAAATAGTTGAAGAATGAAAAGTAAACTACCCAAAACTGGATGGGATTAGCATAAAGTGGGCATGTCTGCAAAGGGGAGACTTGTGGGTACCCATAGAACCCATTTTCAGTTCTTCCATTACCAAAATGTAGCCTAACTTTGGAGCGTTATTTAGCCCTGATATACTAGAATGCCATGGTTGCTTACCAATGGATGGATTAGGTCATCTTGTTTTATATGATACCTTTTTGTTGATTATAGCTTTCAAATGAAGCCCACTACCGCCTCTAAAAGACAATGTGGAGTGGAAGAGGGAAGGATAATGGGGTGGCCCTGCTCTCTGGACACATCCCTGCGTACTACGACTTCTTGCATTTTGTCTGAAAACTGGGGTTGTCGCTGCAGTAGGCTTGGCATGCTTCTTTCAGCACCTTTGTCCTCAGTGTTGGGTAGTAACTGATTACATGTAATTTGGATTAACTAATAAGATAATGATCACTCCAGATGACATTTATAAAAATGTCTAATTAGATTACATTTTCAACGATTATATTTTTAATTGCATCTTTAAAATATGGACATTTAAAAATATATATTTTTCCTGATATTGCTCTATCGCCCCTCTGGGGTCTATGGATCTTAATAGGGAGAATTTGATGAATTTCATGTTATTCCATTGTGCAATGCATTGAGTTCAGAGATGACACACATGTCATGTCAAGTCAAGTCAGGTCTGGTCAGATTTTATTTAGCTTAGCTCATTTATAACATTTCAGTGTTTACCACACAGAAAATGTCTAATGAAGGACACCAGTGAATTATGGCAAATGTAGGATCCAGGGTTTTTGAAGATTAACACACACTACTTAGTAAGAAGGATTACTGAATTTCGGCACTTGTAAAAGCTCTTAGGCTACAGTCATTTACCTGAGAAACTTAGTTATTTTACAACCACTTACCACCATTACTGCCTTATTTTTTTAATTGTTATTTATACATCATTTAGGGTTTTGTTCTCTGAACTGTAATGCCCCTTTTCAGACCATGATTTTACATTCGAAAAATCATTCCAGATACATTATAAATACAAGGATTGATTTAATGTTTGAAGAACATTGTAAGAGCATCCAAGTCTACACACACACATTTAATGGAGCTAATCAGTAGAAACACTCCTGTGTTCCTGTGTGGAAACAATACACCAAAATAACCATGGGAATGTGTGTATCCTGGACCATCTGTTCTTTCTAACAGCTCCATTCAGCTGCAGAACTCAGGTCAACTCGGACACTTCTGGGGAATGTTGGTTCATATATTTACCTTTCCGTGGAACGTTTCCACATTGAAGCTAGCTTTTTCCAGTTTACTTCTAATGCAGAGCTGCCCACCAGCAGCCACACTCTTATGCAACCCTGTGCCTATCACCTCACTATATTTCCACTGTTACTACAACTCAGAGGTAGGGAGTGGGAAGAGAGTAGAAACATGGAAACAATTAAATAGGCCCACTGTATATGAGCAGGCCATAGGAGCCCAGTGAATTCCCTACAGAGCTTTTTTCTAGAAAGGAAGAGGAGTGCCTCTACATGTGACATCACAAGAAACTTGAAACCGTCATTTTCAGCAGCCCTGCCTGCTCCCACATTTGCTCCCCTCTAACCAACCTCTCCCTGAGACGCTCTACGCTTCTATGCTGGGCTCCAAAAACAGGCAAGCATTATCATCCTTCCAGCCCAAACTGCTGCTCTGATCCCAGGACTTCACCACACAGATTGCCCCTCTGCTTCAGAGAGCCAACTGAGCCTGTTTCTGGAGGTAAGTCACACTATTCTTTTGGCTGAGTTGGTGCTACTGTGCTGCCATGCGGTTTGACTGATTGAGGGGGTTTGCTCAGGAAGAGTGAAGAATCATGGGAGAAGAGTACAGCTTTATTAGTGGCTCCAGCCATTGCTCAGAGGCTTTGACTTTGAAAGGATTATCAGACTCAATAAACTAGTTATATGCACAGGTTATGCAGCTGTTTTTCAGAAGTGATCCAACAGTCCCCCCCCCCCCCACACACACACACACACACACACACACTTTTTTTAATTTATTTTTTTTTGCTGTAATGAGTTGAGCCATGATTCTCCTGAGACCTTATAATATCAATTTCAAGCATTTTTGAATTTTTTTTGAAAATTTTAGGTTTTGTTCCTAATTATCTTTCAGTTAATAATTATTATTATCATTATTATGAATTATTATACTCCTTCAGTTATTTTACATTGCTCTTAAGGATTTACATTTTAAATGACAAATGGTGAGTCTTAATGTATGAATATTTTCAAATATTTTGATAAGAAACAAGTGGAAAAAAGATTATGCGTAAA